TTTTTTTTAAAAAAAAAACGTTGCCCCACACTAGGATTTTCTCCTGTGTCGTGGGTGCGTTTACAAACATACAAGTTCACATACACAATGACACCCAGACCCGAAACAACAATTTGTGGATCACACAAAGTGTTGTTCCGTGCGGGAATCGAACCCGCGACACGTTGCACGGCAGCCGGTTGCCCAGTCACCGCACCAACCGTGCGACTATACGAACGAGAGCGAGAAACATCTGCGATTAACTAACCTTTCAGTTATTTCTATTTATTAATTGTTTACGTTAAAGTAATTCGTTCCAGTATTTAATTACCAGTGTTCTACTTGAACACAAAGTAAACATGAGATCCACTACTAGTTATCATCACGTAGGTCATGAGTACTTTATGACTATGCTACGTGTAGTTAAGTGCGCCTTAATTGCACTGCTAGTAGAGTCTATTGTCAAATATCATACATAGAACATACATATTTGTCGCGGAGAACCTAACGGGTTACCGGGGTTCAGGCTCGACGTGCAGGAGAAGGAACGGGGTGGTTTTTAGTTACATAGTAAGAGTCTGACACTGCCTTCCGCCTCACCCAGGCGGGTGCAGCAGCCATTCGATGATTTTCCCCAGTTAAAAAAAAGGTACATACATATTTAAATGTGGGAGAGCCATGCTTTGGCACGAATGTTCCGGTTCGACCGGAGTGATACCACGGCCTTACAGAAAACCGACGAAGCTGACTATTGATATTTCTAGAATGAACCAAGATTTTTCTAGTATGCTTCACTATTTTTACTACTAAAGGCGTAATTCAAGTGGGAGGTGAAGTGGGCGAGGCCAGAAGTAGATTCTAGTATTAAACAGCTATTATTATGAGTTCTGTTTGTGGTTTGAGAAACTTTTAGGGGTGAATACTCTAGCAATAAACTAACGCAAGATGTTCTTGCTATTTTTAGTCTGAAAACGTACCTATAAATCTGTTTTCAAAATTTGTTGGAGAGTATTGGTATTTGCTGATTCTGATGTAGGTGTTTTGCCCCAATTTTTGTACAATTCAGAAGTTGTAAAACATGTAAAAGATTTAGATCTGAAGATAGATACAGAAAGACTAGTTTGATTTGATAATGCGGGAGAAGCCACAGATGATAAGATAGTATCTAAAGTAAACACGGGCTAAAGTGACCACCTCTTCAAGGAACACCAGACACGCAAACGCATATTCTAAAGAAAGAGTAGATTAAGGAAACTCTTTCATCAATCAGTCCCAAATTCGCGGTATTTACTCTAAATTTTCCGCGAATTTCCCGAAGGCAACACACAGTCTACCGAATTAATATAAATATGGCGAATCTATGTTTGCCACGATGGCACGTTCCCAAGCCATAGAATAAATAAAGATGGTAGTATGTTATCTGTGGTCGGAGCACACGGTTGTATACTGGCAGGCGCCCACATAACCATCAACAGTTTTGTTTAAATTTCGAACCGCGAACTTTCGCAGTGATTGAAAGCATCCGTTACAATGATAAATCTGTTCCAGTGTTGGATTGGTCCTCCTGTAAGTTTACAATATTCCTTTTTTGAATATTTTTGTTTTGTTTTCCTTGGCTATCTTTTTTATTGTCTCTCTTCTATACTTACTATACTCTTTGCTCTTTGTCCATCTTGTCTAAAGTATCAATTTCGAGCTGTGAGCTCTCAGATTGATTGATAGCGTCTGTTTTCATAACAATTATTGTTTCAGTATTAGAATAGTTGTACAGTAAGATTTTAATAATAGTTTTCCTTTCATTTTAGACATTTTTACCAGTTCTTTTCCCATTCAGAATACAAAATAAGAAAAACCAAATATTTATTTTCTTCTATTTCTCTGTATTTGTATTGTAACGTTCCAAAATTTGTAACGTTTGTTTTGATTGTTGCTTTCGTCAATTTTCTTCGTCTTTCGAGAATCCAGATTTTGACTGCTTTCTTATCTATACTTTCTTCTCTTTCTTTATTATTTATCTATTCTGATTTTCATTTTGTAGCGGAATCTTCTTTATCACTCTTGATAAAAATATAATCAAATATTATAAATTCATAGAACTAAACGAAGCTCTTGAAATGTATTTTAGCATTTATGGCTTTTGGATGCAATCATGTGATAGTCTGCGTTATTTCACAATTGAACTACCTATGTGTAGTTTGCGGAATATTCCAACTGTTACCAAGAATATAATGTTATTTCAATTTCTATGTGCAATCAGGAATATT